TCTAGTAGTATTTTTGATCTAATGTTTTTTTTTGTTTTTTAATCTGCCATTATTTCATTATAAACATAAGATTTGATAGATACATGAGTTTGTTTAGTTGTTGTTTTAATTTTTAGAGAAATAAATGTCAACCATCACAGAGATTGAAAGTCATAATAAGGAAAATACATCACAATATGAAACAGGCACATCTCTTTATTAAGGCTGAACTTTCAAATAAATCTAATACCTGCTGCTATAATTTGATGATCTCACTATACGATAGTTTCTTTTGCTTTTAATTCATCTAATAATGTTACAAATGTCACCGATTACGGAGAATTTCAATTCTATTATCAGTTTTAGGTAAGACGATAACCTACGATAAACTGCAAGGCCTATGATCAGGATGTTTTTCGAGAGCTTGGAATTATCTCTTAATTGCTGGTGTTCCCACGCCCGTCCTGACCCGTGGTTTTAGTACCTGTCAGGGTCCCAGCTATAGGCAAATATTTAACCCCCAATCTGTCTTCAAAACACTATGAAAGTGTAAAGATAGGTTTTAATAGCAGCAATACGTTTTACCAGAAATATATTTTTGAAAAAAAAATTACCAGCAATACATTTTTCCAAAAAAAGAAAATATTACCAGCAATACATTTTTGGAAAAAAAATATTCCCACTATTTGCATTATTCGGACTATTGTCCACATCTTTGCTGCCATATTTATCACAACGTTTCGGTCTTTGTACGCTCCGACCTTTTTCATGTGGTTCGCTCGCTGGGGTAGACTGTTCTAGTTCCACGTACCATATCTAATGGATGTCAGTTATCAGTTATCTCCTGTTAATTCCCCTCCCCAAGTTCTCCACCACCTTAACCAGGTATTGAACTCCCACTCTTTGGGTCCTGTCACTGGGTCTAACTAACGCCTTTATCCACTGTGCCATGTGTCCTTGAGATAACTGATAACTGACATACATTAACACCTCATCTCAGAAATATAGAAAAAATATTGCCAGGTACACATTTTTGAAAAAAAATATTACCAACAGTATATTTTTGAGAAAAAAGATTACCAGCAATAGAAAATCCTGTCGGCATTAAATACCCCATTGATGTTGGTGTGCCGTAAAACAAAACAAAACGAACCAAACCAAACCAATTCTATTATCATCATTTCTCAAAGCTGACCAACGTTTTGTTGTTGATATATTTTGAAATTACAGGAAGACTTATTTTTGACGCTTTTCTTATCGGGCTGAGTACTCTTTCGGAAAAAATGATCGAAAAAATAGTCGAATTACTCACAGTGCTTTTATAACGTCGTTGTATCATTTTTAAATGTCGTGTTCCTTAGGCGATTATAGATTACCAGAGATTACTTCTCTTTATTAGAATGATTAAAGATTATCATGACTTTCTAGGAAAGATAGTAGAGTTCTATTATTGCTTTCTCAACGCTTTTGAATTCGAAATAGTCCCTCACTTCGACCGGTTGCTACTGATATGTAGCCTATTATTTAATCTATAATTGGATGCAGATATGATAGATTTGTTGAGGTTACACATTTTCTCAGGGGCAGTTATGGAACTATTTGATTTGTGGTGCATAAAAGTTTTGCTTCTTGTGGTTAACTCGTATAAGATAGTGGCAGCGATTATTAATTATTCCGGGTGCTGTCCGGAATAAAGCAATCTTTACCCAACTTATAATACAATGATTAAGCAATGTTTTTAAACAAATGAATTTAAAATGAACAAGATAAAGATTTTTTCATCAACAGATTACAATTTATTTGTGTAACCACTTGTCTGGTTATGGAAAATTGCATTCTGGACATTCTCTTTTGTTTAATTCTTGAGCATATATCATAGACAGTTGCAAGATTTTATTGCTGTTTTCAAAAAAAAATGGCCCGGCAATGGCTTGGTGGTACCAAAAACAATTTCTCCTGGATTAAACTGCAATTCTTATTTGAATGTCTTCCATATTGATAATAAATTCAGTTCCAAGTTTTATGTCCAATCGTTTGAGTTATCCCTAGGTGCTAATGGTGAAACCTTTCTACCAAACCATTTGCGCATGGATGGTATGCAGTCTGTTTGATATGGTGTATGCTTAGAACTGTCATGAAGTCCTTAAATAAATTAGACTGAAACTGAGCATCACAATCTGTCGTGATCATGGCTGACACACCAAATTTTGAAATCCATCTATCGATGGATTGTGGTAACAACCTTTTCTGTACTGGTGTCTTCGATCAGATATGACGCTGGCCAATGTTCGTAGCGATCGACAGCAGTGAGATTGTATTGATAACCTTTTGATTGCGAAAGAGGCCCAAGCAAGTCGATATGATCGTTGGTGAAACGTGCGTCCGGTACACTAAAAACTCTAATAGGAGACTTAGTGTGTCTACCGAGTTTATGACGCTGGCAGGATAAACAACTTTTAACCCAATCATGTATCTCAGTCGTAATACTGAGACACACAAATCGCTGTGTGATCAACTTAACTGTTGCTCTTATACATGGATGTGACATGTCATGAAAGTGCTGAAAAATAGCTTTGCTTAGTGTCACACAAAATCATTTGTCCCTAAAAGGTGAGGGTAACTTAGTCAACTAGAGTGACGTCCCTTGAATTGCTAAATCTACTGATTCAATCTTTGTTCCTTGGCAATTGTCTCGAAATTGAAAACAACTTTCTCGACAAAGGTGTCTGCAACAATGTTATCCTGTCTTTGAATATATTTAATTGTCGAGTTAAATCTCTATCTATAAAAGGCAGGATATGTGGTGCGTATGTGTGTGTGTGTGTGTGTGTGTGTGTGTGTGTGTGTGTGTGTGTAACGAATGCACGGCCGCAATTTTCGACGGATTTGCACTAAAATTTACATGCACATGCTCCAAGTTAGCTGGAAAGCCAAGACCGACTTTGCATTTCCCAACTCCCATCGATAGTGGAAATAATTGATTTTTTCATGCTTCTACGGCAGTTTTCATTTAGTTTGCGGCCATTTTGTACTGGCCAGAGAGAGAGCCTATAGCTGGCTGCCACCAATAGGCAGGAAGATTCTAGTGGCCAGCGTGAGAGCCAACAGCTGACTGACACGAATGTTAACTAGCATGCTAGCATGCAAAAAATCGATAGCTGCATTCGTCACAAGTGGGAAAACTTTAAATCTGCATGGCACTTTACTCCAATTGGCTCATTCGCTTGCCTAAACTCAACGTTGATTCTGATTCCGCAGAACTGGGTTGGGTGTGAAAAAGTATTTGTTGTTAATATTCTTTTTTCATTCGGTTTTTCCAATTACGAGTCCTTTTTTAAAGCTGATCGTTTTGTGTTCATTTTGTTTAGTTCTTTTTTCGTAACAGATTTAATGTTTAGTATAGACCTTAGAAGAAATTCGCAGTGTGAGTAGGCAAGAAGTAAGGCATGTAGCAACATCAGCACGGCAAAGGGCACTCCTTTAAAGACAAGGAAGGGCAAAAATATTTTAAGTAAAGTGATAGCGATTGCTATATGAGTCGTGCGATTTTTTAATCAAGCACGGACAACGCTGGACCATGCTGCTAGTTGTGACATAAAATAAAGTTGAAACAATTCCCTCGGTGAGTATTTGATGAAATAGAATTTACTGCATAAATTACAGGATTAAATGGCTAAAAGTTATCTGTAGAAAATGCTTTAATTCATTTGAGCGTAGAATCCATTCAGTGATGTAGTGAAATAGTTAATGAATGGTAAAATATAGCGATCAGGAATCGTAACAGAATTAAACCACCATATAATGTCTAGTCAGAATCTCCTTTCGGAACAAAATGAATTGGAGATGCCCAAAAGGTTTTAGAAGTGCAGTTAATTTCCTGTTCCATTGGGTTTTGAAGCTCTTGCTTGGAAAATTAGTATTTATCCGGTCACAATCTATGTGGTGCCGCGTGAGTAGGTTGTCCTGTTGTCTGGATTTGGTGAGCAGTCTACTGCTTGAAAATTGTAGGTTGCAATAAAGAATGGATTGTGTCTGGGTATTGGCGAAGAATGTTTGTGAATTCGATTTCTGATGAGAATGCACCAGAAATTCCTGTGGTGTGATTTGCAGTGCGAATGCAAGAAACCTCTAACTTTGTCTCCCCATCTGATTCTCTATAACTTGTAATGAATGAGAAAGGCTGCTCTAACAATGGCTATTTTAACGTCTACTACTAAAAATATCCATTTGAATTCTCGCCTCAATCCAAGATCCAACAGATGTGTTTTTTCACCGTACGTCTTCATAATCGATCAATTTGCTGCCTGTATACGATGAATTTAAGGAATAGTTTTTTTTAATATTACTTGTAGCTGGTAAGACACTAACCTGTGCGCCTGTGTCTATAAGGAAGTTTAAGTCAGTAGATTTGTCACGCAATTAATATAACTGACTACTCAGTGATGTTACTTGCCCAGTCAGTGGAGTCGCGTTCTTTAGCTGGCGGATCTGTTTCCCTGGTAAATGCAAGGCTTCGTATACTTGTGGGCTTTATTACTAATGTTTTTATGATACCAATATAATGTATCATTATTTGTTTTATGTTTATTCCTGCTTGTACTCCTGTTCCTATATGGTGATCTGCTGGTTCCGTGCCTAATAAACTGTCCTATTTGGTTGCTCAGTTCGGATATCGCCCGTTTAAGTTCATGGATTTCTTGATCCTTTTACCAGTTGACACTCAGAGAATGCATTGTACAATTATTCTCTGTTGTATGTATGCGGTCGACAATATCAGCAATTTTGTTTAAATCATCATCTTCCGTCATAGATGCTAGGATGGTTATGGCAATTTGTCCATCCACATACGCTTCAGTATAGTATCAGGCATTATATTTGGTTTCAGCAAGGATCACAGATGATATACCAATTGTGAAGGCGTTTTATCAACCAGCTCTATGTTATTGAATAAATCCTGAAGCTTGATTTCTTCTGACTTGCTAGCTCGTTTAATTATCCCCTGCCTTAGCGTATCGTACGGCATGTCTTTTGGCAAGTATTCCAATAGAGATGCAACTTCTATAGCCACTTCTGAGAGTAGTTTCTCAACTACATAGCATTATCGGAGTCGCTCGGAAGTAATTTACTTCGCGTTGAAGCTTGCAATTGAAAGAACTGAACCTTCGCGTCGAACGGAGGAAGATTTAGGGTTACTGCTGCTTCCATTTGCTGTTGCCTTTCTGCGTTCTGCTCCATGATCGATGAGATTGTAGAAAGAAAATATCATGGCTGCTTTTTAAAAAGATCGTCTCACGTCGGTATGTTACTACTTGTTAAGGGTGCAGACTTTCTCGGGAGCAATTGATTTATGAGGCACAGAAAGTGTTTGTTTCTTGTGGTTAACTCTTATAAGATAGCTGCAGCGTTTATTAATTATTCCGGGTGCTGTCCGGAATAAAGAAATCTTAACGCAATGTACAATACAATGACTAAGTAAGATATTTAAACAAGTGAATTTAAAATGAACAAGACGATAAAGATTTGTTCATCAACAAATAACAATTTATCTGTGTATTTTATACATCGTGTTGTGAATATAAAAAGACGCATGAAAAGATGGGTAAGTTCACATATACCCATTTAAAAGGTAAAATATAACATACATACATTTAAGTGTGTTTAATAAAAAAAACCTTTGAAGGGCGAAAGTTATGTATACACATTTAGGTGCGTTTAAATAAACCCTTGAAAATGGAAAGCTACAAAGACACATAGTTTAATAAAATTATGAAAATAGAAAAGTACATGTGTGTTAATTAAATACATGAAAATGGAAAAGTTCCAAGACAAAGTACACATTAAGGTGTGTTTAATATAACTCCTTGAAAGGGGTGGGGAAAGTTCATGAACAAGACACGCATTGAGGTGTGTTTAATAAAAACGCTTCAAAAAAAGGGAAATATCATACATTGGATGTATTGTAGAATCTACATAAGATTAGCGTGAAATGTTTCATTGGATTGGTAAATCGGTTGAGTTGACTACGCGTAATCCATACAAACTCTCTTGTTTGCTTTGTGGTGGTATTTATAGCTTCCCTTAAGTAGGTGCTGGCTCACAAAAATGTCCCTCGAAAATACTTGGGAAACGCTGTCAGTGGTCGATTAATTTGCGTAAATACTGATTTTGGTCAATCGACACCTGACACTTGAGACAGAATTTTCCGGCCGATCCAATCGTGTATTTTCGAAGGTTATTACTGCGAAAGTGAACGCATCAAACAAGGATGGAATTGTATTGGGTTCGCCGGATCCACTTTATGTGCTTCCTGCACGTTCGATAGCCATGGCTGGCAAACAGTCTAAGAGAAGGAATAAGTTTGATTCAAAAACCGGTTTGAAGGCGACGCGATAACTAGCTGACCATTTTTCTCTAGGTAACAGACATCACAAAGAAAATAAGCACGGAAATGTCAAGGTCGTTTGGGTCTTGTAGAAGGTCTGGCATTAAAAAAAGTCATTGCGTTGATCGAGGCATATTCAAATTCTCTCTATGACAGCGTTGGCCGAGTGTAAGGAAATTACAGCGTTTTAGGACGGCAGACACGGAGAACCAATAGCCTCAGTGACAACCAGCCGGCTTTTAATGGAACCAGTCTCGCTTAACGCTTCCCCAATGCCGGGGTGTATTATCAACCTAGGACAAACTGTTAAACTTGACAATCATCAAGGGTTGTAAACGGTCTGCAGCAAGATCCGTGTATACCGCAACTATCAGGGTAGACAAAAATGTAACTCGTGGCTATTACAATTTCGAACAAAACACACTACATACCATTACAAAGTCACCATTTGCTTGCATAACACACTTCTAACAGAGGGTCTCCTCCACTCACGAACTCGACCATCAATGAGTAATAAAGGGAAAAACGCGTCTTCTGTCCAAGGCAAGGAGAGCAACTGATTCCATGCTGTCAATAATTGTACTCATGATTGAGTGAGACCAGCAATTAATTAGACTGTAATTTGATGCAATGTCTTTTTTTCATTTCGTGATCAGCATCCATGCCAATCTCCGGGGAGATTTGTTCCTGTTTCCCAGTAAACGGTTATATAAATATATATTTTTTTTTAAATGTTTTTATACAAACACCAAGATACTTGTAAATTTTTGTATTGCTAATTATATTTTCTTTTGTATGCATAAATAAGCCATTATAAGATAACTAGCTTAAATGCCGTCCAATAGGGCGGCTTTTAAGTTAGCTCCTGCAAAGGGCTCATCATTTCTCCTTCATCACAATAAATAGGGAGGAGGAATTCCGATAGGAAACAATAAACTATAGAAGATCTCAAAATTGATCGCTGCATTTAAGTATTCCATTAATATTTGAGCTTACCTTTTAAAAGTTCAACGAAGGAGATGAGCTATTGCGAGTTGTGTTCCTTTTATTGAAAAAGTGTGACACACTGATATTGGCATTTATTAATAGAAGACATACTGCCTCAATACAGTTGATCATTGTTAAACATTTTATATTTTCTTTTTCTTAAAATGTGCTCTTTTCTAAGTGCTGAACGATATTAGAAAAGTTACGTCAATTATTGTTTATTATGATTATTATTATTATTATTAATAATAATAATAATAATAATAATAATAATATGTTTGGCTTGAATAGCGTTTATTTTGTGTACGGTGTTGGAGGAAGACAACTTGAATAAAACAGTTTGCTTAATTGAATAAGCCTAATTGACTAAAAGAGTGACGTAGTGTTATGACAGCATTTTGACAAGTAAAACTAAGTCGACATTGAACAAGCGGATTGCCTTAACTAAACTCTTGTCCCTAATTGATATACCGTTAATTGTAAGTAGGCTGAATATAACTGCTCATTGAAGGCGGATTTATCACAATATTAAGCGAGGTTCTATTATTTATTTATTTTCAATTCATTCCTCGCCACACTGTACGCGTCTTTATCAATTCCATTTAGTCAAGTCGTTGTCTTCTTCCAGAGACGTGTGCCTAGTAAACGGTAGCTAAGTCCAGTTTTGCGTTTGCTTTGTTTATTGCAAATTGCTCCCAAGTCACAACCAGCAAATTCAAAAGACATTTTTTTTTTTTTGGCAGGGTGCATTAGAAGATGCAAACAGATTAGGTGTCATGCAATCAGAAAAA